GCCTGACGATCCGCCTCCTCCCTGGACTTGGAGCCAGCGCGTTCCCATAAGTTGGGCAACAGGCGCATGTGCTCACCCCATTCGGTTAGTTCCTGGCCCTCAGAAGCTTCTCGGGCTAGCTGATCCTAGGCCCTTCTATAGGTCGAGGGAGGAGTGGGTTGTCGTCCGAAAACGAGCATAGCCGGGCTATAGCCTGTCGCGCTATGAGTTGCCGAGTTCAACGCGAAGTTGAACTCTAGCAGGTGCTCATCCCAGCTCTTATGATATCCACGTATTATCCACGTATGACATGAGCATGGTCTTGAGGGTTTTGTTCCCTCGCTCCGTAGGGTTGGCCTGTGGATGGTAGACTGGAGTGAGGGCGCGCCGGTTGCCGTTCCTTAGTAAGTAGGCATCGACATCCTGATTCTTATATTCGGTTCTATTGTCTGAAAGGAATATCTCGGGCGCGCCGAACCTGGTTACCACTCTCTCGTGGAATTCCAGCACAATGGTCCTTCCATTGGCCTTGCGTATGGGTACGCACTCAACCCACCGAGTGAACAGGTCTAAAAAGACCAATATGTACTCAAACCCTCTCGAGCTCTTTAGGAATGGGCCCGTAATATCCCTGGCCACCACCTGCCGGGGTCACGAGACCTCTCGACGACCCATTACCCTGCAAGGCGGCCTTTGTTCCGCCTTGCATCTTTGACAAACCGGGCAACTCCTCACGTACTCTCTGACCTGCTCATACATATTAGGCCAGAAATACAGGCGCCTAGCCCTGGAAAACGTCCGTTCTCTCCCCTAATGTCCCGCTGCTGGCGCATCGTGTACCTCTTCGAGCACTTGGTGCCTCTTCTCAGCAGGAACCGCAAGCTTCCAAGCTTCCTCGTTGTCGATGGATCCTTCGCTATCTTCCGTCGGATTGTAATGGTACAGCCTCCCTCCGACTACCTTCCAGGTAGGCTAAGAATGCGGATCCTGGCATACTTCTCGGTACTTCTGCAGATACCAGGCATCGGCAGTTTCCGGCTGATGAGTTATGGCACCCACTTCTACCACTCCCTCCTCATAGGCCCTAGACAAAGCGTCTGGCACCACGTTGAGGTCTCCCTTTCGATACTCTATATCAAAAACATGTCCCTGCAGTGCTAGCGCCCAACGCGCTAGCCTTCCTGTAGGATTCCTCATACTGTGGAGCCACCTAAGGCAACTATGATCGGTAATGACTTTTAAGTGGTGCCCCTCAACATAAGGCCGGAACTTCTCGATAGCCCACACCACAGCCAGGCACTCTCGCTCGGAGACTGTGTAATTCCTTTCCGCACTATTTAAGGAGCGACTAGCGTACTCTATGACGCGCTCCTGTCCATCGATTTCCTGCATCAGTACGGCGCCGATCCCGCTATCACTCGCATCAGTTTGTAAGACAAACTGTCCGCTGGGATCCGGCCACTGCAGGATGGGTGCAGAGACCATTGCGTCTCGTAGCCTTTCGAAAGCTTTCTCTTGTTCCTGCTGCCAAGCGAACGGAACGCTCTTCTTCGTTAGGCGGTTTATCGGTTCAGTGATTGTCGCGAAGTCGGGTATAAAGCGACGATACCACGACATCATCCCCATAAATCGCTTCACCTGCTTGATAGTCCGTGGTGTTGGATATTCCATGAGCGGCTTGATCTTCTCCGGATCCGGCCTTACTCCCTCACGGTTCACAAGGACTTCTAGGTACTTGACTTCCGACTTACAGAAATGGCTTTTGGTCTTATTTACAGTGAGGCCCGCCCCCAGAATTCGTTGTAAAACCAACTCCAGGTGTCGCTTATGCTCCTCAAAGGACGATGAAATAATGATCACATCGTCGAGGTAAGCAAAAGCGAAAGGATCTAAGTCCGGGCCAGTCTGTTTGTCCATCAACCTCTGGAAGGTCGCGCCTGCGTATGACAATCCGAAAGGCATTCTCTTAAACTAAAAATGCCCCAGGCCGGGGACAGTTACCGCAGTGATGGGGCGCGACTCCTTTTTTAGAGGGATCTGGTTGCAACATATACGAGGTGTATTCAAAAAGTAAGGTGACTTTGTATTTTTAAGTAAAAATATTTATTTATTTATCAATATTTATGTTGTCTCCTTCAAAGTAATCCCCCTCAGATACAATACACTTATGCCAACGGTTTTTCCAATCCTCAAAGCATTTCTCATAAGCACTTTTCGGTATAGCCTTGAGCTCTTCCAGCGATGCAGTCTTTATCTCTTCAATCGTTGCAAATCTCCGTCCTTTCATAGGTCTCTTTAGTTTTGGGAACAAGAAAAAGTCACATGGGGCCAAATCCGGTGAATATGGTGGCTGAGGCATAAATGTGGTGTTGTTTTTGGCCACAAAATCTCTCACAAACAAAGATGAGTAAGCAAGGGCATTATCGTGATGCAAAAGCCATGAATTGTTTTTCCACAATTCTGGGCGTTTTCTTCGTATTGCTTCTCGCAAACGGCGCATAACTTCAAGATAATACTGTTTATTGACCGAACGTTCATATGGTAAGAACTCCTGATGCACCACGCCATGGTAATCGAAGAAAATAGTGAGCAAAACTTTGACATTTGATCGAACTTGGCGTGCTTTTTTCGGTCTTGGCTCATCTGGGCTCTTCCATTGGGACGATTGGACTTTGGTTTCGATATCGTAACCATATACCCATGATTCGTCACTAGTTATGACCCTTTTGAATAAATCTGGGTCGTCGTTGACGTCATTCAACAGTTCTTGAGCGATGCTCATGCAACGGTTCTTTTGGTCAAAATTTAGCAATTTCGGAACAAACTTCGCAGACACACGTCTCATGCCCAAAATGTTAGAAAAAATTTCATGGCACGAGCCAAGCGATATACCAACATCCTCAGCAACTTCTCTGATAGTGATTCGACGATTTTCCAGAACAATTTTTTTCACTGCTTGAACGTTTTCATCAGTTGTTGACGTGCTTGGGCGTCCAGAGCGAGGCTCGTCATTGGCATCTTCCCGGCTATCTTGGAAGAGTTTGTACCACTTGTAAACATTTTTTTTACTCAAAACAGTTTCACCGTATGCCACCGTCAACATTTCAAGTGTTTCGGAGCACTTTATTTTATTTTTTAGACAAAATTTGATGCAAATCCTTTGGTCCATATTTTTCGATAGCAAGAAATCGCCGAGCACGCAAAACACTTATAACCTATACGCCTCTCACAACCAAACAAAAAATGCTATAGACTTGAAACTTGGTACAGATGTTCGGGAAGAGTGTACCAACATAACAAAATAAAAAAATCGATAATCGAAAGTACGTTGCCCGTGAAATTTGAAAAGTCACCTTACTTTTTGAACACACCTCGTATATATATATATATATATATATAGGTTTTGTCTCTGGGGGTTACAATCCCTACGACGTAAAGGGAAAGAATAACCTTTTTGATTGGATTTTTCGTGTAAAAAATCACGAAATTACCATAAAAATTAAAAAATAAATTTTCATCTAAAAAATGATAAAATAATATAGACCAGCTTCGGAGTTTTTTAGTAATTTAATAGTTCGAGTGTGAATCACCCGTAAACCCTACTATTGCTATATGAGGAGTTGCCAATTACTAATTTCGCTGATTTTTCATTTGGTATGACGCTTAAAAATTGATGAAAGAATTATACTGTTGTAATGCTAGAAAAGGAATTTGAGATCTGAAAATAACCCTCAAAAGCTACCCGCAAAACCCTGTCACAGCAATATCTTCGGTGTTTCTGACTTTTTCGATAAAAAAAAATTTTAAAAATCTATATAAAAGATAAACATTACCATACAGTGATTGTCACTGGGGGTTGTCAGCCCTACGGTGAACATTTAAAAAATTAAAAAACGATCAATTTTGTGAAAAATAATACGAATAAACCTAAAGTGTTTCGGTATATTTCCTAAACACCCAGTGATTAACTTCATACGTATACCCCCTAATCAACTTCCTGATTAATCCCCTGATTAGCCCCACTCGCATACCACCTGATCAACCTCAGTCCCTGATCAATCTCACTCGCATTCCCGTGATCAACCTCACCCCCTGATCAATCCCAGTCGCATACTCTCTGATCAACCTCATCTCCTGATTAACCCTTCTTGCATACCCCCTGATTAACCCCACTCCATACCTCTGAACACTCCCTCATTAACTTCTCTCTCTTAACCCCTGAATAGCCCTGATCAACTGTATTCGCGTAGCCACTGATTGACCCCACGGGGAATCTCCGATCGTCTCGATGAAGAAACATGTATTTTTAAACTATATAGTGGATTTTGAAGGATAGGAGTACTACTTTATGGTGTATAGTTCCTTTGTGGAAATAAAATTCATTCACAATATCACATAATTTTGAATATAGGTAAAAATCTAGCATAAAGGCTTTAGCACTTTTACGTTAGGATATCCTTGAAAGCGTGATGTGATGGCTCAATTCTGAGGATGGGTTTAAATTTTACGCATACGATTTCTTCAGAAATTACTTCCAGTGTTACTAGAATATTTGAAATCCCATTTTTTACTATTTATGTAGTTCTGAATGCAAATTTTTTTTTCAAAGTTACGTATGTTATCGTATTCTGTCGGCTTATTTTACTGAATAACAAGAAACTGTTATGATAGAATTTCGATCTTGGTTTACCTCGTTAACCACAATCAAATCGAATTTTAATCTTGGTTTGCGGCGTTAACCGCATTGATATGCGGCACACATAATTTACGGCACGGCAATGAATCTTGAGTTGCCATATATATGGCAACTCAAGATTAATTAATTGCTTTTTATGTGGTCCAAACTTCAAAACATGTTTTGTTAACTCAAAACATATACGAGTATATGTAGTATTATGTCTACATATTATATTCAGTCGGATAGTAATACAATTTTGTTAACATCGTATAATTCTTTTGAATCTTAATATTGTGTAATAATATTAATTTATGACAATCGAAATTCATAATGTCATGCGAAGTTTATTAAAAACATTCCATGTAACTGAAATAGCGGAAAATATACCAAAATTGAACGACGCAGAGAAACAGCTACACGATTATATCGAGGATGTATTGAAAAAAAGTATTAAAGGTAATTATTCAGGCGTTAAGTATGAAACGAGTGACAATTCATGTTTCCTAGATGATGATTTTGATATCAATCCAGAAGTGATTGACGATGGTTTTAAGGGAAAATATGCTGAAGATTATGCTGAGGTGCCTGATTGTATTATAAGTAATACAACAGTCAATGATGGATACAAAAGAAAAGCTGTTGAATAATAGAAAAGGGAAAAAATAGAAGTTGTCTTTAAGTTCCGTTCAAAGTAAGTATAAATTAGTCAAGTCAAAACATTAGTTGAGAATATGGAAACAGCAAATTTCCACAGGTGGAACTAGAAGAGATAATTTGTTTCAAATTTCAAAGTATACGCTACAAAACATTAAAAATACTTTATACCGGACCTTATCAGCTTATGATTTAAATCTTAAAAGATGGGCTTTAGAAACAAAGCATGAATTGAATATGCCTTACTTCAAAGCATCACCCAAGTAAATATTGTTTTAAAATTTGTCGCGATGTCGCCGTCGAGCGGTGCGGAGGTGCAACCGTCTGACGCATCATCGCTACATAAGCATTTCAAGTGTCATCCAAATACAAAAGTTGGAGCAGTTGTGTGTTTAGTATGTGGTAATTTCTATGATACGAGTGAAACAGTAGCAAAAATCAATGCAGGAAATGCAATCAAACTAATAAACAGCTCATTCATAATATGCCAGGAGCATCCAAATTTTGCACTAACATCAAACTTGCCATATGGGGACTTAAGTGAACAAGCTAGTGCTTTTATAACACAATTCAAACTTGTAAGTAGAGAACAATTAAAACAGGAAATATTAAATGAGCTTGTGCATGAAAAGCAAATTTTAAATGAAAACGATGATAATATGGACGTAACACAGATTAGTGATTTGGATGAATTACAACAATTAAAAGCCGAAAATAACCTATTGAAAGAACTGTACAAAGAAACAAAAGAAAAAAATGAATTGCTCAATGAACTACTAATTAAAGAAAAACAAAATAAAAATGCAAATACTAACATTATGAGAAAAACATATGCTGAAACAATTGCACTACCAAAACCTAAACCCAAAAGAATACCAAGATTAATAATAAAGAAAAAGAGTAATGATAACATAAACTTAGAAAATCAAGTAGCACATTACTTAATTAAAGACAAAAACATACAAACAAAAAGTGTACAAGTTAAAAATACTGACACAATAATTGTCAACTGCATGACCGAAGAAAATGTCACAGTATTAGAAAAAACTTTACAAAAAAAACTACCGGCACTTACTGTTCTAAAAGAAGAAATACGTAAACCGATAATTAAAGTAGTAGGAATTTCTAAAGCTTTCACAACAAATGTAAAAGATATAGAAACTGATATTAATGCAAGAAATTTTAGTCAATACGAAGAAAAATGCAAAGTAAATCATGTATTGTAACGGGGTGTGACCGTTTAATAAATATATCGCGTGATTATACTAAGGGGACGCGCGTGAATCGTTAATGCTCGCTGCTTATCTGGGAGAGCACGAGAAAGCATACGCCGGTCAACCGATTATCGTTTATAACCTAAACTAAATTGAGTGGAAGCTATGTGAGGAGAGAATCAACGAAAACACTTGTTAGTATTATAAATCGGATGTTTTATTATCTTTCTAACTCACAAAGGTCGGCCCGCGCGTTTGTTTACACACACGCTCGCTCATCGGCAACACGCTTTGCCGGTACGCTCGCTGCTCTCTGTTATTAGAGCCTTACATGCACGCATCGAATACCGAAAGTTATTTATCCGACATGCAATTCCGATCGCGTAATTAAGCTGGCCAGCTTACCTTGTAAATGCGGGCGATCGGCGAAAGTCACAGCGAATCACACAGCACAGAACAGTCTAATATCGCCTTATTGTTTTGTTCGCGGGACGCGAAAGCACGCACGCACCGGTTTCGCCCTCGATGGCGAAACCTCACACCCTCTCTCTGGATCTCTCGACCGGGCCTCTGACTCGCAGCTTGGCAGTTCCTCGGCGGCTACGATCCTAGATCACTGGCTGCTAATTGATGAAGCGTATTGATGGCTAGGGCACGTGATTCGGCGGCGGTAATAACAGAAGCGGGCGGACTCAACTACGGTCGATGCTTCACTGGTTCAAATCTTGTCGCGCGCGTTCCGTCTGCTCGCGTGCCGAATTCCTTCGTTACATATTTTTGTCCCCCCCGGGAGGTGCTGCCCTCACGGACAACAATAAGGTTAAGTAATTAGCGCTAACTTGACGTTTACCGTCACAGCCCCCTTCCAGTCTGGACCTATAGGGTCCTTGACGATGATCCCGTTAGCGCTATACCTTCCGAGGAGGATAAGGGGAAGGATAATAAAGAATCATAGTCCGAGTAATGGCAAATTTAAGCTTTATTGGACGACAGGGCGATGTATCGGTGGTCCTGCCCACGGGGGCAGGACATCATCACCTAGCTGGCCTCGGCGGTATCTCCTGGCCCTGGTCGTCCAATGGAGGTCGGCCGCGTGCCTCCCACCCCAGGCTCTCCTGGACCAGGTCGGCGTGTTGTCGCACGCGTGGGCAGCGGTCCGTGCGAGTCACCCCGGGGTAGTGGCATACGTTGCACTCCTCCCACTGAGCGTGGGAGCCCTCGCTCTCGGGGGGTCAGAGGCAACCCGTTCCTACGGTTCGGGGCGGACCACAATGGTCTTTCGACCGTGGAATCCGCACCCGAGGGGCCCAGAACCACATTGATGTGGATGGGCCCCGTTGTCTGACCGCCTTGGCTCCCATCCACATTAACCACCAGGGTTACCCCGCCTTCTTGCGAGCCCTGGTGCGGCGTAATTCCCGACCTGGTTTCCGGGGCCGTTGTTCTGGCCCCGGCGGTCGGAGACTGGGGGAGGCTGTCGGTGTTGACACTCGCCGGGCCCTCGAGGGCCTGGCGGAGGCGCTGCTGTACGCCCCTGATCGCCGACGCGAACTGGCGACGGCGAGACACCACCTTATCCCAATAGTCCAAGTCTTCCGGGTGGTGTCCCGCGGCTGTGTACGCATCGAACTCTGCGTACACAGTCCGCTGGAGGGTGTTGAGGGTCGTCCAGCCGCGCTCGACTTCCCTCAACCCCTCGACGATGTCTCCCCAGGTTCGCCCGCTAGACGGGGGTGTCTGGCTGGTAAACCTGGGGCGCCAGGTCGCGTCGGTGGCACCCTCCTCCGTCTGGGTGCCGATGGTCGCGGTCGGGACTTTCCGGGGAATTGGTCCCTTTGGTGGTCCGGGCAGCGGCGTGGTGTCGTCTCGCGCGATGCCATGGGTCCTCGACGGCATCGCGGTTGACTCGTCGGCCGGGAGCTCTTCGATGAGCACGGATGACGAGCTCTCGTGAGCTCGCACCCGTGCTCGCTCCTCTTCCTTCTTCTTTTCGGCAAGCAGGTGGAGCGCGGCATGAACCACCCCCTCGACGGCGGGACCTAAGTCCAGGCCGATGAGGGCGGCTGCCGCTTGCTCGAACTGATCGAGGGTAATCTGCATCCTGTAAATGTCCGGCGAGTTAGTATCCTAAAAATAACTTTAGATATCGAAGGTGGGCGCCTGTTCGGCTGCCCAGGGCCTTCGTCGCCGGAATTGAAGGTGGGATCCTTGGCGTCGGTCTCCCAGGTCCTTCGTTCGCCGTGTATCATGCATCCACGGTTGTCGCTTTCGGTGGTCTGCCCCTCTTCCTCTTCACGATGATGGGAGGAGGGGCTCGTGTCGTTTGTCGATGTTGTGTGGTATGTGTAGTTCGCGCGGACTTACGAGGTCTTCCTCATGGACGCTTCGTCGGGTTAGTAGGAGGGATATCTAGTGGGACTCGGCTGGGGGGATTACGGCGAGTACGGCGAGGTGATTTCGGAGTTGTCGCGTCGTCATTTCGGAGTGTATTATCTGAAGTGTTGGCGCTCCCGTTTCCGTGCGTCGATGTATCGCTCGCGTTAGGCGGGACGTTCATCGCCTCGGTTCCCTCGGTGGTAGAGGTCTCGTCGTCATGTCGCGTTCGGGGCCCATTTGCCGGTATATCGTCGTCGCGTCCATAATAGGGTTTGAGGTCCTTAGCATGTATTAGCTCTGTGACCTCTTCCTGTTGGTTAGCGAGGCGATATGAGTTGGCGCCGAGTACCTTTGTGACGATAAAGGGGCCGATGAACTTGGGTGCTAACTTCGCGGAGATGCCCTGTGCCGCGCAGGACAGTATGCGGTTCTTTTTCCACACCCAATCACCTTCTTTGAACCTGTGGTCCCTGTGTTTGGCATTGTAGTACTTAGACTGCCTCAGGGACTCATCCGAGGCGCTCTCGTGAGCTTGTTGAATGGCGGAACGGCCCTTCTGCATGTGCTCGTTCCATTGTCCGATTCGAAGCAAACTCTCTTCCTGTTCGGCGAGCTCGTCCATCCGTTTCCGGAGAGTATTCGGGGCTCCCGGTTGTCTACCGTAATTGAGCATGGCCGGACTAATCCCGGTGGAACTATGGACGGCCGTATTCCGCGCGAACATGAGTTCGGGTAGCGCTCGGTCCCATTCCCGATGATTCCCCTGCAGATACGACGTTATCATCGTCTTCAGGGTACGGTTAACCCTCTCCGTAGGGTTAGCCTGCGGGGTATAGGTTGGGGTGAAGGTTCGTTTTATCCCCTGGTCTTTCAGGTACCCGTCCACCAACTGATTGCGGAACTCGGTGCCGTTGTCAGACAAGAAGATCTTGGGTGTGCCGAAACGTAGGATTACTCGTTCCCGAAGTTCCTTCACGATCGTCTTGCCGTTAGCACTACGTATGGGTATACATTCGACCCAACGTGTGAATACGTCGATGAATACCAAGACGTATTCGTGCCCTCGTGGGCTCTTTGGGAAGGGTCCGGCGATGTCGCCCGCGACCACTTGCCAAGGCATGGACCATGTTCGGTCCTGCATGAGCCCGCGCGGTGGCCGTTGCTCGACTTTGCACTGTTGGCAGACCTGGCACTTCTGGACGTATCCCTTCACATCCGAGTACATTCCCGGCCAGTAATAGGACTGGGCGACACGGGCGAAGGTCTTCTCGCGTCCTAAGTGTCCTGCTGTCTCTAGGTCGTGATTTTCGAACAGCACCGCTTTGCGTTCTTCTGGGGGCACGACGAGTTTCCATTCGTCGCCATACTGATCTCCTCCTGGATGATCCTGATTCGGCTTTCGG